AGTGACTGTCAAATTCAGCATTTTCCATCTCATTGTTTCTTTGGTTCTGATCCCTGAAAAAATGTATTTGAAATTATATCAAACATAAATGATTCTATACAAAATGCTACTAATTTCCCTACCTTGATAAAACTAAATTTTGTGGATTCTAACTAACAAAAAATTAATGTCAAGCATTATTCATTTTATACAAAGATAAATTTCAAACTCCTACAAGCCATAAATGTCCTGCCCCATCTCAATGAATCAACCTTGATTATATTCACTAGAAGTCAGGGGAAACTACATTTAAAGGAATTTTATTTCAGGGAGGCTCACACCCGCCATTATCTTCACAACACAGGAACAACATAATAATCAAATAACCACTTAATGGTCTAAGACATACAAGTGTGTCCGCTTCATTCATCATTCATCATGGAAAAAAAGCGAACCACAGTCTAATTCATAGGAAAAAATGCATTCCATCATCCATAATCTCATATGCTCCTATGCAAGAATTCATTTTCACTCGAAATCGATTCGTGCATTTGGAAAGAAGCAGACAATGCACAAATTTGAAAAGAACAGATCATGGTGCTTTTAAAGTATTCATACCTTTTAAGAACCATCCTAAATTATGCTTGCATCCAGGCGTCTCTTTAATTCATTAGTCTGGCTTAAATGAAATGCTTGTGAGCATCACATCCTTTGTCTTTGGAAGAAATCTCCAATTTTCATGTTCAAGGAACTACTTATAACTGTAAGACAAACCAAAGTGCATAGAGACTACCAACAAAAAAGACATAGGAAAATGAAAGAAAGGTATTGCCGAGTATTGAAACAGGGCTAACACTTGCAGTTTAGGTAGACCATCATAAACTAAAAAGCATGTATTTACTCACATATATAATAATAAATAACAAAATAAAGTAAAAACCAAATTATAATAAAAAGAAGAGCCAGTTACCAAAAGATTTTCTGAGGGTATTTCCCATGTAAAGAATCTTGCAAATTGAAGTTTGGTGTATAAATGTCTCCAATAACCACTTGTCCTATATCTGATCAAGAACTAAACACCAAAAAGATTTGTCGTGCGAGCGGATTTCCATAATAAAAAGATTTATAAATATCATTCCCACAAATCATCCACCACCATTTGATGATTTTCTTTTTTCTTTTTTCTCTTTGGATTATCAGATATGACTAAGTCCGGGAAACTTTAGATGCATCTTTCATCCATCAGTTCTCCTCAACCCCCTCAGCATCTACAAACCTACAAAAAACCAACATATATATTGGACAAAAGCACAAATAATCACCACCATATCTTCTCTCCATTCTCTGTATCTTTCCTCATAACTCGCTCTGCAATCTGAATATTACCATGGAAGCAACAGGCTCCTAGCAACGTCCTCCAAATCACAACATAGCAATACTCAGTAGGAATTCTGCAAAGCTATCGTCTCAGCTCCTCTAAACCTACCTTCTCTCCCCAGCATAATATCTATTAAGCACCCATAATTGCTTAATATCGGGTACAACTTGACACTCATTCAAGCATCTTTCTAAAAAAACTCAAGCCCCTCTTTCAACAATCCTCCATGCTGGCAAGCATTTTAAATACTCAAGATCGTTACAGCGATTTGCATCAAACACTCATCTATCATTCTTTTAAAAACTATCTGCTGCATGTTTCCCCCTTCCATGCATTGCAAATCCAGAGATTATAGATGTCCATGACACCAAATTCCTCTTCAAAACAAGTTATACCATCGAGACTTTTACTGCACTCTCCAATGCACCCACACTTTGCATACGCATCTATAAGGGAATTGGTAACTCGAATGTCACACTCATTAAACCACTTTTCTCTCCATAAGTATGAATTAAATGCAAGGACTCGAGACACCCCAAGATTCCGTACGGATGGAAAAATTTGCTAGGATTGTTACTTTAGTTGGTTTAATACCTTGTCCACGAACCATTGTCGAAACAAGGCCAAAGGCTTGCTTGTGTTTGGTTCAACCGTGAGTACCCGCAATGATACCAGTCACGAAACAAACCATTCTGAGATGGCATTCCGTCAAAAGACGAGAACGGCAAGGGCCAATCTGCCCCCATTAGTTAAACCAGTATCAAGGCATTCTAGGTGACTGAGTTTTCCTCTCAGGCATTTCATCAAAACACTTGTTGTGCTTCAACTAAACACGCACCAAACGAATACATGTTGACCAGAGTAGTTTGCGCACATAGATGTGATGCTCAAAGCCGGCTTTTTTCGACAGTGAGGCCATGGACCTGAGTACCCAAAGTAGGTTGTTCCAATTGGTGCAAGCCTTGATGAGAAAAGAGTAGGAATAAGCTGTCGAAGGAGATGATGGGTAGGTGTAGAAGTGGCAGGTTTCTTGAAGAGTAGGACAGCTTCTTCGGGGGAGAACCGAGAGAGTTAGTGTTGGAATAGGTAATCCATATTGTCATAGAACATTCTAGTAAAGTGAATGCATTGAAGATCAATTGAAGCTTGCGATTGTCGAATGGCTTCGCAACCTTGCTATGTGTTTCATTAGCAGAGACAGCTGTAGGCATGTGTCTTCTCTTCATTGCCACCACTGCACGATGAAAGCAACATGTTAACTAGTAGCCCTCGTTTGGACAAAGAATTATTTTATTACGGCCATGGTAGGTTCATGAAAAATCTTTTTATGAAAATAAATCATTGAAAGTTTTAGACCCTTGGATTACACTTAGAATAAAGTTCACACTGTCACGCCTCAAAAGTAAACCCATTATAATGTATATCATTGACATGCATTATTTAAGAAAACAATTTTATTAATTCATTCATCAGAGTATACTAAATTAAAAACATTTACATGTAACTATCAAATTAAATGCCTTACAGGCTAACATCTTTCCAGCCAATACTTGAACACAAAAAAAACATGAGTTCTAACTCAAATACAAATAAACCCTAGGCTTGAATGTTTATCAAATAAACAAATAACTAAAGATACTCTTCAAATCCAAATCCTTCCAAGCTAAGTCCTTGAGAGGTAGGCTTAATCACCTGACCTGAAAATGATGTTCTAAAAGGGTGAGTTCAACCTTGCTGGTTAAGCAGAAGCCAAAGCAACTTCCATCTGCAGTATTAAATGATCAAAAACCCACATTTTTTTTACTATGCAAGTCATTTGTAGAATGAGTAGCTGCAGTATTTATATGTTCGCCAATGAGTTGAGTTTTGTAATTGATTTTCAGGGTGATCTGTAGGATTGTAGTGTGACATGGGTTCTCTTTGTAACATTGCTGTTCTGATCAATTCAAGTGGTGTTCACTTCATTGTGATTGAAAAGCAATAAGATCTTCCTCATGTGATGTAAATATTGTACATGAAAGATGAATTATTTAAATGGCTATGCTCACATAGGGAGAAGTGTGAAATAGTGTTAATTCCTTTTCTTGCTGTTTGTCAATTGCGATTTAGGCATCTTTGAAGACTAAAACTTGGATTGGATTGTATGTCCATAATACCACATTCGGTTTTCTACAACAATAAGTGGATGAATTTCATTTTGCAATTTACTTATCTAATGTAATGAGTGTTTGGTAGTGGTTCTTACGATAGAGTGGCTTGAAATTCTGGGGTACTTGGAGTAGCCATGATTTTTGTATTTCTGTGTGTGTATCCTATTTTGAGATGTGATGAAAATGAGAGGGATTAACAGGAGAAACTTGAAAACATTTAAGATAAAACCAGCTTGCTGGAAACTAGATGGATGGAGGGTTTGAGACCCAACTGGGTTGAAAGGTCAGTTTTTTAGTAGATAAAAAAGAAATTGCTGGCAGACATGTATATGATATGTTGCTTTTACCTTTTTCAATGGTGAAACTGCTGGGAATAGGAGCAGATTAGAGAGCCTTCTTTGGTACTCAGCTTATAAGTTTGTTTATTGGCTTAAAATAAGTCCACAAATAAACTACTGCTTTAGAAAGTTAGTTTGGCATTTGACTTTCGTAATGATTTTTGGCTCAAAAAGTTGGTTTTTGACAGGAAAAAGAGTAGCCAAATGGGCTCTGGCATTTAAGCTGAAAGAGTACCCAACAACTTGAATTTATGTTAATTCTCAAAACAAATTAGCCCTTAGGCATATGATTGTTATTAATAATAAAATGCAAACCTTACCCAACTAGGAATAACCAAACTAGACAATTCATTGCTGACATTACAAAACTAATAAAAATGGAAAATTCAAACAAGATATCGAAATAACTAATTTAGACTCCTTAACAAGTGAATTCACCCAAAATCCAATTGGGTCCACTTCGAAGCGTCGGATTTTGATCCAATCCATTTGGTTTACTACAACTGCTTGGCCAACCACATCACGCCACCTGAGGAGGAGACCAAGTTCACTTGAACTTGAATCATTTGCGCTTCAAAGACAAAAATAGTAGGCTTCCTTGCATGTTGTTTGATTCAGCCTGGGAGGAAAACTCCACAATATTTAGAGTATGTTCAAACAATTCATCAATAATTTCACTACCAAAATGTTTGGTGAAATTCATTCAAAGTCAGCTCTGAGGTGCATTATTTTTTGTTACATCCACAAATATATATTTTTTTTTTTTAATTTTAAGATCTAAGCACACCTTCAAGAAGAGAGTTTGAAGGTTCAAACCAATCCACAAGTGGTACCACGAAATACATTACGAATAAATGTCTCAGCTGCAAAAGTGGAGTCTCAAATACTTTTGCGACTACAAGGTTGCCATTGCCTCTTTTTCAACACAAAAAGCATAGAGAACTTCAGATACGAATAAGATCTATTGCTACTATCTGTTGAAAAATTAAAATAATAATAATAATGTAAACAAAAAGACTGATTTAGATTATGTCTATATTGGAATCTTATCATCATTTTATGAGGGAACAATTATTTTAGTAATTAGAATCTTTGTCAGCTTGTCATGTTTAAATCCCAGTAGAACTTAGTCTCTCATATTGAGCAAGTACTTGTCCTAGTTACCTCATTACTGAACTCATTCCCCAATCAAAAAAAGAAAAGAAAAAAAGAAGTACTTGTTTTGGAGATAAGACCATGACCATGAGATTAGACTCTGTATCTTGATCAATCTTGTATCATATTTGGATATAAAATGCGTCATATTGGGAATTATTGAGTCCCATTGAGAAGGATACAAAATGACCGAGTAAGGAATCCAAATTATGAGTTTAAAAGACCAAAATATCCTCAAACATGGTCGTTACATTATGTAATCAATGTCTTAAGGATTTCAAACAAAAATAGAGTAGGTTACATAATTCCTTCCTATTGCAGGAACATTCCAAACGTGGAATAAGATACTTAATTCCAAAAAATTGGTAATTCCAGAATTATTAGTTTCAAAACTAATGATCCCATGTAATCTAAGTCATCCTTTGTAACTTGGCTAAAAATTTAGTTTATTGACTAAAAATAGACCCACAAAAAAGCAAATGCAAACAAAAACAAAAACAAAAAAGTTTGAAACAAACATGGGCACAAGTATTCCATTCTGCTCACAAGAAAGGGGTTTGAAAGGTTAAGATAATTTTAATATTTTACGTGGTTATGATAATAACTCCACCATGCCATTTTCAGATGAAAGGCATGGATGACAACTTGTTGATTTAAAAATGTCAAAAAGTAAATTTTTAACAAACTCTTTCGGGCTTGATTTAAACTTGATTACAATTTAAAGACGGAGTTACAAACCTGGCCATCATGAGGTAAAGCAAGGGCAGTGGTAAGAAGAGAATAGCCAGTGAAAACACCAATCTCCAATGTCTTCTTCGCATTCATTAATTTCAAAAGCATAGACAAGAACAATCCTTCATCAGGGGGCACACTTAGCTCCGCTCTACAATTCAAATTGCAATTTTGTTATACTTTTTTTTATAACAAAAATAAAAATTAACTAAATAAGTTGTGAATAAACAAAATTCTGAAAACAATTTTTTTTAATGTTTCATTGGCCACTACATGGAATCAAGACCATTCAAAAGTAGTAGTGCTTTGTGGCCAAAACTTGTAGTAACAAGTTAGCTGGGCCGATTAAAAAAGAAGAAGAAAAAATCATTTTCAGTCCATGATTTAAACTCTATGGTACTATCCAGGCTTGTGGAGATCATCACAGATTTCATTACGATGACCCGAACAATTCATTTTATAGAGTTCTTCGTGTAAATCATTCACAAAAAAATAAAACAAAAAAGAAAAGTCGATTTAATAAATGCGATAAATTGAATAGGTTACGATTATCAAATTGACCTAATTTTTTTTGTGAATGATACACACAAAAGACTTTACAAAATGAACGGTTTGAATTATCGAAACAAAACCCGTGGTTGGCTCCATAGATCCGGACAACACCCTCTAGTTCATGATTTTGACTAGATAAAAGCTAGGTCCAATAATTTAATTATAAAAATATATTTCATGTTGCTTAAAATGATGTTTGAGTTTATTAATATTGTCAACCATATGTGAGCAAGTCCCTAACCTGTCGCCATATTTCTTGAATGTTGCATCTCTTAGCCTCTTGAGCTGCTCATGTTCTCTTGGGTATGCACTGGTATCCAAGATGTACTACTTAACCAAAATTGAATCAATAAGCAAAATGATTGATATAAATCCATAAAATGGTGTTGCCCATATCTAAAACAAGTTTTTTTTTTGGATGAACAAATAAAAACTTTATTGATGAGAATCAATGTACATAGTATACTAAGACAAGCATCAATCAACTGGGGGGACAAGTGCACAAAGTATCAAAGCAAAAACTCAACAATATATGAAAAAGGAAAACATATTGTTTGGCAGTAAGAGTGTATATATTGTTTGCTTCGGTCAGGTTTTAGAAAGAATTTGGGGCAAAAATTTTTCTCTACATTTGTATTTAGCAATAATCAAAACATACCATTCATCATTGTAAACCACACCAAACCGTTATGCATTGTGGCAGTTTGGTCACATTTTGAAATTTCATGTTTTTAATGATCAATCAGTTAACAATATAATGAAAATACAAAGTTATAAACTCAGTTTTCCTGTTCAAAATATTGGCACCATTTGATTATCTCATTTAGACGAATCAAAGGTATACTTTACACAATAATGCTACAATGGTCAAATTTGTTTAAATGAGCTAAAACAGGTGCTCAAGACTATTTAAGCTACACCCTGGGTCCTATGAAGTTGGTGATGTAACATTCTTCATCCAATTTTGGACTAACATTAATTGTTGGATTAAATTGAGAAAACTTACGAAGGTAAGTAGGAAAAAAACTTTACAGGCCAAAATTGAAAAACCCTAAAACATAAGGGGGCAGAGTGTATTTACCCTAATTTCTGCCGCATGCCTTTTTTCATCCAATTTTGGTCAGATATTGATCATTGAAGAAAATTAGAAACGTTAAGGATCAAATTGGAAAACAATTAAGGGACAAAGTGAAAAATGGCTGAAATTTAAGGGAGTCAAAATGTAATTTACCCTATCAATAATGCTACAATTACCACATTTATATACAATAGAGTGCTTTTCATCTCATGTGTTAGCATTGTGTTAATAACAGATATGAAAACTGGGGCCATATAATACGTTGATGATCTATGGATAACAAAATATTTTATGGTGTGCAAATTTGACCATCGTAGCATTTTATCCTATATGAAACAGAGCCTAATGTCCGGGGTATACTCTAAGTTTGTTTAGTTTAAATAAATTGTTTATTACTCTTTTTCCTCTTTTCTTTTTCCTTTATTCTTATTATTTATTTGTTAATTTTTTAAGATTTTATGTTGGACAGTTTGTTGTAGATCTGCTTATAATTATTTGATAAAAATAGATTAAATAATCAAGATGCAAAAATAAAAAATTGCATAAGGAGCGTTTTTAAATTTTGCTTAAAGATTATCAAATTATCACTGAAATATTTTACGAAATTTGATAATAAAAAATGTTTTGATTGATTGATTGGACTGCAACCCCATCCACTGCTTTTCAACCATCAATATTTTTTAATTATAAATTATTTTGATTGATTGGACTGGGATTGTCTAATTGAGAAAATTGTGAAAAAACTCATATTCCTTCATTTGCCTCAATTACTCAACATAAACTTGGGAGTTCTATTCTTTCTATCAATTATTATACTATTGGAGCATCACGTGACAGTATCTCAAGACCAACCAATAACTTCTCAACTCTCGGTCTATTTCTGTCCACTTTTGGTTATCAATCAATTATTGCTCCGATTTTTTTTAATTTTTTTTATGCACAATTAATTATTTTGTTATTGTTAAATTTGGAAAATAAATTATTTGTATGAAAAAAATCAAATCCAACCATTTCATTTGGTCACAATTCTATCTTAAGAAAAAAAAGTGATACTATACACAATTTTATTTTTTATTTTATTTTTTCGTTGAGTTTGACTTTTATCAAATTGTCATCTCAACTTGAGAGAGCATTTAAATTTTTAATTCTATTTTGTAATCGATTTCGGTGATTCGAATTGTTTACTTTTTAAAAATCATTGAATAGAATATTCATATAAAAAATTATAATAATTTGACATTAGTAACTATATATTACAATCATATTTTTTTTAATAAAAAAAAATAGATAACAAATATAATTTCAATAATAGTCATTCATTTTTTTTATAACAGTGTCTATTCTCAATTTCAAATATAATAGCATCTAAGAAATAAGATTATATTTAGTATTTTATTATAAAAAAAAATAGTATCTATTCTCAATTTCATAAAAAAAAAAACAAACATGATTATGTGAATATCAATGTTTAATTCAATCAATTATATGAATTATTTGCTCCATAAACTAAGTCAAATAATTTGAATCATTAAAATGACTATGCATGGAGGGGTACTTCATGTAGGGCATGGGAACATTGATAACTGATTATCTAAAAGAAGAAAAGAAAAAAAAAGAGAGAGAGAAAAGAATGAAGAAGTAGACCTTGGTCGAATTCGGATCTTATAGAGTGATTTTTATTAAAATAATTTTATAGTTACTTTTTGAACGATTGAAATTTAATTTTATAAAAATTAACGGTATAATAGTTTTTTTTTTTTTTTTGAATGAATGGCATAATAGTGTTCAATATATTTGGTTTCAGTTTTCTGAAAATTGAATTTTTTGTTTTTTGTTTTTTGTATTTTTTTATTTTTAGTGAATATTTTTAAAATTTTTCACAATTTTTTTTTACTTTTTTAGATGCATGTATCTAAATAGTAAAATATTTGTGAAAAAATATTTTAAAAAATTAATAAATACATAAAAATATGAAAAATGTACTGAATTTTCATATATATTTTTTTTTGTATTTTTTGGTATTTAGTGTATTTTTTTTAAAAAAAATCACAAATATTATACTTTTTAAGTGTATTTATATTAGGTGTGTCTAAAAAATTTTTAAAAAAAATTGCTTAAAATATTAAAAAATTCATTGAAAACATTAAAATACAAAAAATAAAAAAAATAAAATCTTTTAAAAATTATTTTCTGAAAATCAGAACCAAACAAAGTGATTGATATTTACCTTTTAAAAAAAAATATGAACCATACGAAAAGTCACTCTAAAAAATCCTCTGGTCGAAGTATCATAACTAGATCCTCTAGTACAATTAATGGAGTGAAAGGAAGATTTGTCACAAAAAACAACAAAAAAAAGAAGAAAGGTGTCTGAGAGAGGGAGAAAGAGGAGAAAACATCCATATGCATGTATGAGATGAAAGGAGAGGAGAAAGGCTGAACAGACAATAGAGACTTTTAATTTGCTGGTGAACTACTTTTAATTCAACCAGAGAATGTGCCTAAGAACACGTTATCATAGATATGTTGGCAACAAAAGGGCTTACCTTTTGAAGAGCCTCACTTTTCAGTATGGTCTTTAAAACAATATTATCCGCCATGGCTTTACCTGCAAACCCAAACCTTTTAATGTTTTCTCAGATGAGACTAAACAACTCTCTCTCTCTCTCTCTCTGCGTATGTGTGTATATATATAGCCAAGTGTTTGAGGGTGTAAGGTATATATCATATGCACTTGTATAAGTTTTTGTAAATATGCATAGATTACCTTTCATAAATTTTTATAAATATATATTAATTGTGATTTTTAAAATTTTTATAAGTTAACTTACGTATTATTGTGAAAATGTATACGATTTTATAAGATATTTACGTATATTTATAAGAATTTATATTAATACATATGATATATAATTTCACACTTAAAAATTGCCCATATACAAGGGCAGAGGCAGTGTATGCCTAGGAGGGGCACGTGCCCACCCTCAAGTTTTGATAATTATATTGGTACTTTTATATATATAGATTATATAATATATATTTTTTATAAAATTATAATAACCCTTTTCAAATTATAATAGTCCATCTATTATTATAAAAAAAAAATTTCTAATTACAATGAACCTACTAAAATAAGTCTTGCTATTGTACACCACCAAAAAGGGTGTACCATATACTAGTTATTACTTTATGGTGTCGATATTATAAATTTTCATAACCAAATTATTTTCATTTATAACTAAAATGACTACTATATAAATTATAACCAAACAACACATCTTCAATTATAACAAAAAGAAAAAAAAGAAATTTTTTTTTACAATAAGTCATAACTAATATCAAAATGAATCATTATGAATCATTACTTGATATATAATCAAAGACCTCTTCAATCATTACCAAAATAACAAGCACAACAAGTTATAACTAAATTATATTCAACAATATACTATGTCATAACTAAAGACGACAAAGATCATAACTGCGACATATGATAGGCGTTTTTTTTTTTTTTTGCGATGTGTTTTTATAGAATTTCTCTACTAAAATATGTCATTTTTATCTGAACTTATCTTTTTTTTAAAAACAATTTTTCAATCCACCTACTCCACGATATTTGTATAAAATTTAATCTCAAATTCTTTAATTTAAAATTCACATCTATCCAAATAAACTCTTAATGTTTACATTTAGTAATATCTCATTATTGTTTATTATGAAGAAACAACAAAATCAATATTGTTATTAATTTATACTCCTCTTTCATTAAATTTCTAACTTTGCCACTGCCCATATATATATATATATATATAGAAAGAGAAGCTAGTGTGTTATGAAATCGTAGCAAATGAGAAAAGGAAGACATAAAATAAGAAGAAAAACAAAAATTGAAACAGTTGTATGATAAATTTGCCATAAATAACAGCCCACCCAGCTTCACTTTTTTAGTTCACATCATAAAAGGAAAACGAGTTAGATTTCTTTTGGGAATTAGGATGCTCTACTTGCACTCTCTTCTTGCCTTTCTATTTGTAATGGTGGAAATGCACTCTTGGATGATCCAACAACCTAGATTTGGTAATTTTTTTTATAAAAAAAAAAATGTTTTTTTTTTTTTTTTAAGATAGGTAGATTTTGACCGTTGGATCATCCTAAGGTGCATTTTCATCATTGTAAGTAAGGAGGTAAGGAGAGAGTGCAAGTAGAGAATCTGAACTCTTCTTTTGGTTTATAATTTGGACCAAAGGTTGTTATTTATGTCGGTAAAGATTATCACCGGTCTTATTTTAGTGATTCGAATAATTTTTAATTTTTTTTATGTATTTTATCCACACAAAAAGTTAGCTTATTCAATTCATTATTTGGGCAACAAACGCAAAATATTAAATATGTTATAATTATCGAATTGATTTAATTTTTTTACGAGTAATATATATGCTGAATCTTACTAAATAAAATACTTGAGTTATTAAAATAAGACTGGTGTGTGTGTCAATTTCTGACCACACTGCCAAACTAGTATTCAGCTGTAGAATACCGGCAAAATAGATTGCCTGAATGACCTGTCACAGAAAAGAAGAGATTTCGGCGGTGGTTCGTCCAACCGGGGGCACTCCGACGATCAAGTCAATTATCTCTCAAAGATAACAAAAGTGCTTAACTCACTGTTTAGAATATAAAAAACATACCTTAGACCCATGAGGGTGCCTCTCTTTTATAGCCAACACAAACCTAATCCCAATAGAAGCCTAGCTTCAATGGATTTAGGATTACTGTTAATCTTGGACTCCCAACAGGATTGGGATAAACTCTCTAAGGGTCTTATCTTTACCCAAACTGAAGTCCTCTCCCAATCTAGGACTCTTATCTCTTATTCGTTTATCCCGGATTCCGGTATTTTCGCAGATAACCTCGGCCTAGCTGAGATTACCTCGGCATCATGTCCAGGACACGTGGCACCTCGGCTGACACTTCAGTGCCACCTCGGCCACGTGTTGTCACTCTAAAAAATTATGTCCCCATAACTGCCCCTAGGTTTTATTACCTCGGCATCCTGAGGTGATGGAACCTATATCATTTCTTCCACTTAGCACGTCGGCTAATCTCGCTTGATCCTTCATTACCGAGGTCATTATTTGTTGGCTCTGCAAGACCAAGACATGTAATCTGCTTTTATCAATGCTTCAGAACCAAACTTTGGTTTATTTAGCCGAGATCATCCTCCTAGCCGAGGTCTTTAAATCAAGAACTCCAAGAGTTTCAATATGCGTATGAGCTATCAAGCACGATATTTCAACCGTTTTTGCCACGCGTTTCTTCCCCATCGAATCGTACTTGACACGCGAAATCAAGTCGCGTCACTTTTGCGTGTGCCATCTGACAAGCACGTCGTCCAAGGCACATTCAATACTATTTTTCCATCTTCTTCATGTTTTCACAAAAATCCTTTCCCTCTTTCCGTCTTTTCACTTTACATCTTTGATTTTGCACAATGTTTAGCTCTTTGTTTGGCCAATGTGCCTCTTTACAATCTAAACAAGTATTTTTCAATATCAGGCCGAAGTGCCTTTTCTCCTTATCTGAATTCATTCTCTACTTTCTTCTTTCAATGTGATTGTAAGTTTGTATGCTTTCTTTTACTTGTCTTTTATAAATCCATACTTAGAATATTTTGCATGTCTTCAAAGTACACCTTGACTGTGTAATCTTCTCGGGGTGTAACACCTCGGTTAGACCCACTAATTGTTTATCTCGGCCTCAGCTTTAACACTTAAAAACATTGTAAAGAATATTTTCACAAGTGCTATATAAAACCAGCCACTTTGCTTCAAGTCTTGACAACACGGTAATTTCGGCAAGTACATAAGTACTTCTTTCAATACAACCTTGGCTTAACTTGTAAATTTTTCTCAAAAATTTCAACAAGTGTTAAACCAATCACAACCTTGGCTTTACTTCAACTTGTAAATTTTTCTTAAAATTTCAACAAGTGTTAAACATGATATCGGTTTAACTTCTACTTGTAAATTTTTCTTAAAATTTCAACAAGTGTTAAAACAAATCTTAGCTTGTAAATTCCAACTCCAAAGCATCATTCTCCAGCCCTCTGCCCCTTAGTGTGAACTTAAGTTCCACTTGGATTCTTATTAAGCATGTGACTCTGACCTTGTCGCCAAGGTCAGATTCAAACAAAGACTGGCCGAGGTTATCAACCTTGGTCTCTTTGTTAATCTGACTGACAAGTACTTTATTCCAATCTGTGTCTGACTCTGCCGATATGACACGTCCAAGTTAATCCAACTTAGTTCAACTCTATTATATGCAAGTATAATTTTACTCTGCCATATAATAAGTCTAAGTTATTCGTCATGTTTCAATCAGAAACATAGCCAACTTAGTTTAACTCTATCATATGCAAGTAGGAACTCTGCCATATAATAAGTCTAAGTTATTCGTCATGTTTCAATCAGAAACATCGCCAACTTAGTTCAACTCTATTATATGCAAGTAGGAACTCTGTCATATAATAAGTCTAAGTTATTCGTCATGTTTCAATCAGAAACATCGCTAACTTAGTTCAACTCTATTATATACAAGTAGAAACTCTGCCATATAATAAGTCTAATTTATTCGACTTGTTTCGACGCCCTTGTCCCCGGTGTGTCTTCCTCAGCTCTTGCGTACTTCTCAATTCTAGCCATCAGTTCCTCTATACTTTTTGGTAGTGTCTTTGCCAATGATTTTCGAAGCAAACAATCATCTTTCAGGCCGTTCTTAAAAGACACGACCGCCACCTCTTGGTTCTACCCTAGTATTCAGTTGAACACCTCATAATATCTCTTGGCATAGGCCCTAAGGCTTCATCCTCACTGATTCTCAGAGCCATCAGGGAGTCTGCTCTCAACGGCTGTAGTTTGTTTGTCACAAACCTGAAAACAAACATCTTGGCAAGGCCCTCCCAGGTTTTCACAGTTCCTTTCGGCAACTTGTGAACCAGTCTGATGCAATTTCCCTCAAGGACGAGGGGAACACCTTGCAAAGCAACGGCTCGCTCCCGGTGTACAATGCTATCGAGTTCAGGTACAAGCTGATGTGAAAGTTGGGGTCCGACTTACCGTCGTATATCTAGAATCTCGACATGTGGAACCTCTTTGGGGCTTCGAATCTGTCCAATTCTACCGAGAACGGCGTTCTCGGCTTGACCGAGGAAGTTACCTCGACATCTTGTCACTTCCTCTGTAGGTAATCCCTCAAATCCTCCTTGGTCTGTCCAGGAGCTCGGCTATCTTTTGACTTCAGCCTTTTCGGTGCACTGCTTCCAGTGTTATTGTGAGTCCTTTTGGACTTCCCTCCATTGGTCGTGCCGAAACAGAGTTCCTTCCCTTGAACATCCCGATGTTCTTTGGTGCAGTCTTCTTTGGTTCGACATGTCTTCTGGGATTCTCTTCTCGTTGATTCTCCATGTCCGACATCCCATGAAGGCCAGTGAGAATGTCCCTTGGTTCTGTCGTGCTGAGGGACTGTAGGAACTGTTTTCTGTCCCCCTTTCTGGGCACTTTTCTAGGCCGCTGGAATCGGCGTATCTTGTAACGGGAATGGTGGCTGCATCATGAAATTGACGATCGTTTGTAGGTCCGCCAATTTGTTTGCCATTCCCTTCATTTCGTCGTCCCTCCGCAGGCATCTTTCTTTCCACACCTGAAG